AGGCTTTCTTTAGCTTGTAAACCTTATCTTCTTGTTCCTTAACTTGAAATCCCTCTGGCTGCTCCACAAATATCTCCTCTTGCAAATAACCATTTAAAAATGCAGATTTTACATCTAAATGGTAAATTTTCCAACCTTTGTGTGCAGCCAAAGCAAGCAGCATTCTGATTGTATAGAGACGTGCAACGGGAGCAAACGTTTCTGAAAAATTCACTCCAAACACTTGAGCATAACCTTTTACCACCAACCTGGCCTTGTGTTTATTTATAGAACCATCTGCATTTAGTTTAGTTCTATAAACCCATTTGACTCCTATAGGTTGTTTGTGTTGAGGTCGATCTACTAGCTCCCAAGTGTCATTTTTTTCAATCATCTTAAGTTCTTCCTTCATAGCATTAATCCACTTCTCATCCTTTTCAGCTTCTTCAAATTCAGCAGGTTCTAAGACAGCCACATTACACTTTTGATAAATCTCATATAAAGATCTTGTACCTCTGACAGGAATTTCATCAACTTCATCATTAAGGAGTTGTGGAGTTTCTAGAAGTTGCTTTCTTACTGGCTTCTCCCAACTCCACTGTTGATCTTCCATGAACTTTACATCTCTACTCACAAGAATTTTTCCATTTTGTGGTTGGAAAATTCTGTAAGCTTTAGCCGTGCTACTATATCCGATGAAAACTCCGGGTTCAGCCTTTTTGTCAAGTTTGTCCCTTTTAACCTGTGGAACATAAGAAAAACAAACACAACAAAAAATTCTCAAATTTTGTAAATCTGGTTTGTACCCAAACCAGCCTTCAAATGGAGTTCTTTTGTTCAAAACTCTACTTGGCAGCCTATTCAGCAAAAATACAGCAGTGCTTGCTGCCTCTGCCCACAGCTTCTTTGGCAAATCTTTCTCATGTAACATGCACCTTGTCATCTCCATGATGCTTCTATTTTTTCTCTCACTTACACCATTTTGTTGTGGGTTGTATGGTACTATAAGTTGGTGCTCAATGCCAGCTTCTTCACAAAATTTATCAAAAACGTCATTTGTATATTCTTTTCCATTATCAGACCTTATTATTTGTAATCTGCAACCACTTTGATTTTCCACAAATGCATTTAAAGACAATACTCTCTGAGGTCCCCTAACATCTGTATGAACAAGTTGTAGCCTTTGAGTTGCTCTCCAAGTGGTTTGAGGAAATGGTTTTCTGACTAGTTTACCAAGTTGGCAAGCCACACAATCTACCAACTTGTCTTCAAGCATCGAGACACCTTTCACCAAGGCATGTTTCTGCATGTATAACAGTCTTGCAAGATGAAAATGTCCAAGTCTTTTGTGCCATAGATCAGCATTGGTGGTTGTGCTCGAAAAAGCTATTTGCTCCTCCTCCATCAGATTTAGAGCATAGCTCTTAGATCTCATTTTCACTCTAAATACATCTTTGCCTTTTGTGTCTTTGATCAAGCACCAGTTATTTTCAAATATGACTTTGAAGCCCTTTTCCACAAGTTGTGCAACACTAAGCAAATTTTGGTCAATGTTAGGCACATATAAAACATCAGAGATATACTTCAAACCTGTCAAGCTTTCAATAGCGATGGTCCCTTTCCCTTTAACTGAGATGAAATCACCATTTCCAATTTTTACTTTGGAAATAGTGGTTTTGTCAAGCTCTTTAAAAAACTTTTCGTCGTGGGTCATGTGGTTTGTGCAGCCGCTGTCTATTAACCATGAGTCACTAGAACAGTTGATTGTAGTGAAAAACATGTTGCAACAAAGAGTTGCTCATCTTCTTGCTCCTCCAAGGTGACATTTGCCTCTTTTCATTTAGACTTGCAGACTCGCTCTACATGTCCCAAATCACCACATTTTCTACACTTGATATCTGGCCTCCACCAACATCTTTCTTTTGGATGATTTGTCTTTTTGCAATGTGGACAAGGGGAAAAGTTCTCACCTTGCTGTTCGTTGAAATCTTCTAGCTTTTTGTTCTTCCATTTGTTGTTGTTTTTGCCACCTTTTGAATTTTGTGCTTTTACATGAAAAGCACCTTGTACCGTCTCATCTTGTCTCATCATTCTTCTTTGCTCCTGGGCCTGTAAAGCATTTACCAATTCTCCCAAGGTGATGGTTGACATGTCTTTTGACTCCTCCAATGCTGATATCTTTGATTCATATTTTTCTGGTACAGTAACTAGAATTTTTTGAACTATTTTTTTCATCAGGAAAGTCTTTCCCGAGAAGCTGCACTTTATTTGCTATATTCATCAGTCGATCAACATAATTTTTAATTGTTTCTGTCTCCTTCATGCTCTGCATCTCGAATTCTCTAGCTAAGTTAAGCACTTGCATGCCTTTGGTTCTTTCACAATCAGAATATTGTTTCTTGAGATAATCCCAAATCTCTTTGGCAGATTTGAAATTCATAATTCTTGTAAAAATGATTTTTGACACAACAGAAAAAAGGCAATTTTTTGCCTTTGCCTTTTTTGTCTTTCTCTCCTTGTGGTACTTCATTTGAGCCACAGTTGGATTGTCAGGCAATATAGGAACATCATAATCTTCTTCTACTGCCTCCCAAAGATCCAATGCTTCAAGATGACAGATCATCCTTGCAGCCCATAATTCATATTCCTCACCATCAAAAATTGGCGGTGAACCTACTGTGTATGTATTATCCTCCATTGGTGTTTCTCTCAACTCATAGATCCCTCAAAGATAAAGGCTCTGATACCAATTTGTTGTTGTTAACATAAAATAAGAGTAGAAGGATAAAAATGTTTTGCGGAGAATACTATGATATTATTCACTTGCTCGTTTTAAATAGAGCTAGAGTCAAACATACAAAATAAAATATCTCTTATTTTTAGGCACGACTAACAATAATTCAATCTGATAAACAGAAACAAAAACTCCTAATGACTAGGTCTTAAATAACAGAAAATTAAAATTTAAAAATTGGATAAAACAGCCACGTGTGCAGTTGTTGCAGGCATATTTTCAACAGCTTTATATGACACTGTGATATGTAATGCCATGATGTTTTCTTTAATCGTGATAAGATGTGTTTTGTGATGAATATGTGTTATGTATGAGTGGTAGGATAGAGACTCACCCTTTCACAACATTTTTTAGGAAACCAGGACGAATAGTACCAGGCTCACAGTGCATGGATGAATGAGAACTGCTATAGGACTTAGTTATTTTGAGTTATGTAATGAATATTTTCAGTTTTATAGCATTCTTTTGAAACAGTTGTAAAACTACTATTTCTTTTTGTTGCTGATGAAAATTTTAGATTCTTTATTTTTCTAAAGTACTTATATGAACCTTATATCATTTCATCGTTTCTTTCTCATTAGAGAGTTTTTATTAAAGAACTTTTACTTTACCATATAAATTTTTATGAAAATTTATCATATATTGAGGAAAGAAATATAAGGTGTTACATCACTCAATCAATTTTGTTAGAGATCGGATACCTCTGGACTCAGTCCAAATTAGATATTACAATCAATTATATTTCATAATATCTCAAAATAATCAATTACCATCAATTGAACCTCCTCATGTCAGAGAAACATATATATCATTAACCTATCATAACACCTAAAATTTTCATCTTAATGTATTTTCACAACATAAACAAACACTATTAGGGTTTCAAGAGTACAAATATTGTTACATTCTAATGATGGAATTGAACTCTCCTTACATCGATATGAAGATCAAGAAGGAGTTTGATGAAGAGGATCAGTTAAAATGAAAGTTCTCCCTAAATAACACAAGATAACCTTTAAAAATAGAACTTGCTGAGAAATAAACGGAATACTTAAACTTAAACTCAGAGGAACTTACTTGGAATTACTTATATTAGGTGTCCAAGCTTGGATTAAGAGAGTGGAAATCCAAAGGAAATGAGAGAAATTGAAACGGGGATTAAGAGAAATGAAATATTTCACTTTGAAAATTCCTTAAATAACCCTCAGTTCGCGCGCTCTCGCTTAAGCGAGAAGTACCTCGTCTGGGCGAGACACATCTCGCCTAGGCAAGCTGTGCAGACAGTGGTCTTCTACCTATTTTTCTGATATCCTCGCTTGAGCGAGACCCTTCTTGCTTGAAAGAGGAGATGTTTAAAGAGTTCCAGATTTTTCTGCGACTCCTCGCCTGGGCAAGCTCCATCTCGCCTAAGCGAGGTGATAGTTTGAGCAACCTGATCTAGTCTTGCTTAAGTGAGATTGATCTCGTTTGAGCGATAATGCTCCAAAAAAGAATGATCCTTAGCGTTCAATCTCGCTTGAGTAAGGCATGTCTCGCTTGAGCGAGATTCCTCTGCACCAGAACTTTACTAAACACTTAAAATCCTCCTTAATACCTTCCAATATTATATAGCATCAATCAATAATCCATCGCTAACACCATCTAAAAACATGAGGATGTTACACTAACCACCTAAATCATTAGACTATTTCTGACAACTTACTTCAACAAAAAGCATAAAAAAAGAAAAAGAATTGTTAACGTGTATTATTTTAGCAAATATATTTGAAATTGTGTAATGAAAAACATGATAAACAAAACTTGAGCATGTAGACAAAATATCAATTGATAAAATAAAAAAAAAATTATTATCTTACCCCATAAATAAATAAATTTCTAATACAAATTTTATAATTATCTTTCTTTAATTTAATCTTATTAATATACTAAAATATTTATTATTAATAATTAAATATTTATTTATAAAATTTATTAAATAATATAATATTTAAATTTTAATTTAAAAATATATTTTTGTAATAAATATCTGTGCAAATAAATAAATAAAACTTACTGACATTAAATATATGACGGTTAAGACTCCGATATTGTTTAACAATTAAAAAGTAATATTATTTGGATAATTTGTATTTATAAGTCAAAAGCTAGTTAAAAGTATTTTATTAGCAAAGCAAATAAATAGACGACGTTTACACTAAATAAATACGCATCAGAATCAGATCAGTACCTTTATCATCACTAATCACCACGAAGGATGATTTGTGGGATGTGTGCGATTTGGCGACTAACAGTCTTTGTTTGGCATTCTTTAAGTAAGAGGGAACAATAGATGACCTCAAAGATCTTTAAGTCGGTAAGACCACGCATTCCATCGGGGAGCAATGCCAAATTTGGGCAATCGTAGATCCTGATGTGCTGAAGCGATGAGAGGTTGCAAATCCAATCTGGCAAAGCCTTTAGCCTTTCACACTCATATATGCTGATTTTTCGCAGAGAAGGAAGGCAGTTGGTGTCGTTCTTGAACCCAGTTTCAAATTCCTCAAGTGTTTCACTGTCACACCGTTCAATTTCAAGAGACTCGAGAGAAGTCAGATTTTGCATCCAACCTTTTGGTAAATTCATTGGATCAGCAGATATGCCCAATTCTCTGAGCATGGAAAGAGGAGCAGCGGAGGAAGATGATTCAGCTGAACATGTTAACGCTGTTCTAGTTGTGTTTAGTGTTCCTATTAATGCCTCCGCACTGCTATAACGCCATCTTAAATCCTTAACGTTTGGAAAAGTAGGCATGCAAGTCAACTGTGGACAGAGATAGAGTTGCAGCTGAGAAAGACGAGGAAATGAAAGAGATGAGGAGAGATTATGTGAATCACTGATATCATCTCCCCGCCTCCGCCATCCCCTGAGCTTGGGACAATCAAATAATTTGAGGCTATCCAAAGAGGGGAAGAAGGTTACTGCAAAACCATCTTCGTAGAGAGATATGTATTCCAATTCAAAACAACAGTCAATCTTAAGTGACTTCAGGTAAGGGAGACGTTCCAACGGTGGGAGACAACCACAATTACAAAGGTCGGAGAGAGAGATGTGAACAATATTTGTGAGGAGAGAGAGCCAATCTGAGAAACGCATACCTGGATAACCATGCACAGTCAATTGCTTAAGATTATGGTGGGGCTCAAGGTTTTCTAACAATTGTAAACTGTTACCGATGATCTTTTCATACGACCAATCTAGAGTCAAGGAACGAAGGAATTTTTTTTCTTTTAAATTTACATCATGTGATTCCAGAGCCACGTCTCTGACACGATCGAGATCCCGAATTTTTAATTTTCCTCTCAGGTTTAAGTCTTTCAATTCATTTAATGTGCCATATTTTGTTTCTTGGCTGTCTCCCACGACAAAGATTGATAAGAATTGCAACCAGCACAACTTTCCCAACCCAACTGGCATCCCACTCAAGTTGTAATCATCAGTTATGTCAAGATATCTTAAATGCTTGAATTTTCCAATTGAATCAAACAATCTGTAGAAAGGAAAAGATGACATCCTCAAGACACGTAAGTATTTGAACTTTGCAATAACCGACAAATATTCCTCCTCTTTCAAGTCATACGGCAAAATCAAAGTTCGCAGTCTGCTCGGATCTAATGATTTCAACAAATGAATGGCCTCTTCAGATTCCAATGATACGTGCATGGGTCTACCTTCAACTTTCTCCGCCTTACTATCCAAGTAACAGCAATCATTGCCAGAAACAAGCATTGCAAGATCATGAATTAAATCATGCATTTTGAAAAGAATGATCTCACCATAGTCATTACTTTCTGCATCTTGAAAAAATGAGTCCATCAAAAACATCTTTACAAATTGATTACCGACATCCTCCATGTGCTGTTTTTCAGTTGAACATTTAAGGTAACCCTGTGCCATCCATGACTTAATCAACTTATTCTTTGAAATTCTTGAATCCTTGGGATATAAAGAGCAATAAGCAAAACATTGTCTCATTTCTGGCGACAAGTTGTGGTAACTGAGTTTTAGAATTGGCATAATACTATCTTGCTCTTCACATAATTTCCAGAAGTCACCACGTGAAACATTCTCCCATTCCCTTTCTTCCTTTTGTCCCCGTAACAGGCCTCCCAGCGTTTTAACTGCTAGTGGAACCCCTTTGCATTTTTTGGCTATTTCTTTCCCCATTGATTCTAGATTTTGATTCACTCCTTCGGAATCATCCTCAAATGCAATATTCTTTAACAAACTCCACGATGCTTCATCCGTCAAACCTTTCAAAGGATAGGAAGTGCTAGTAGTCATTGACTTTGCTACATTTTCACTTCGAGTTGTCGCTAAAATCTTACTACCTTGGGCACCACACATCAGGTACTTTCTCAATTCAGCCCATTTGTCATGTCTCTCATTCCAAATGTCATCCAGGACCAACAAATATTTCTTACCACTTATTTTTTCATGAAGTTTTCTTTGCAAGTTGCCTAATGATAACTTGTCTTCAACTTGGTCACCAGTAATTGATTCTAATATTTTCTTCAGAATAGTTTTCACATCAAATACATCAGAGACACACACCCACATTTGCATCTCAAAAAATTCCTGCAATTCCTGTTGATTATACACTAATTGAGCAAGAGCTGTCTTCCCCAAGCCACCAATGCCAACAATGGCAATCACAGAAACTTTATGGTTTTCATGAGGTTGTCTCAACAGACTAATAATCTCCATTTTACTATCATCTCTTCCAATGATATCTGTCTCTAACACAAAAGAACATGTTTCCCTCCATCCACTATCAGTTTGCGTGACCACAATAGATCTTGGGTATAAATTCAAATCCTTCATTTCTTTTACCACACCGTTAAAACTTTCTCGTATTTCCTTAATTTTGCCAGGCATTTCATTGTATAAAGGAAGTTGATTTGAAGATGAAATGGAACGAAGTACCCTGTTTATTTCTTTTCCTTCGGCTGCACCCAATTTGCCTCTCCTAAATTCGATAGCAAGGTCATCTAAGAAGTCATCTGCAGCATGGAGTACTTCTTTGAAGTCAGATATCCAATTACGCACACGAACTTGTTCTTGTCTATGGTCAGCATCAAGGAGGACATCATTGATAGATTCAATTGTCTTCTTAAGCTCTTCCAACTCTTTTTTCACATCATACTCCTGTCCAAATTCAAGAAAATCTGCGGAGGCCAACCTGTGAATGAGATGTCAAGAATAAATGTCTACATTATTATTTTCTTATTTTTAAATTTTTAAACGGACCATACAAAAAGATAATTCATTATTTTGTATATCATACATGATGGAACATTATACAAGAATAAACAAAATGAAACTTAATTAAAGAATAAATTTTCTTGACATGATATAAAATAATTATAATTTTTATTTTAATGAATTAAATATAAACTCAATAATTAATTTTAAATTAATTAATTATAATTAAATGTAAAATTAATGATTAAATATTATTTCAGAAAATATCAACATAATATAGTTTTATATACTTATCTAATATGTTGTACCTCTTAAAAAATAATTTTTATTTAATTTATTTTTAACTTTTATATTTAAAAAATATTTTCTATTTAATTTATTTTTAATTTTTATATTTTTAAATATATGTAAACACTATTATTTCTACAATTTATCAAAATTCTAATATCTATTACTTTGTTTGGTTAATATAATTTATTCTTGTTTTTTATATTTTTACAATTGCATTGAGTTTTTATTTTTAATATTTAAATATAAAAATTATATTTGAAAAAAATAAAATAATCAATACAAAATATAAATACTATGGTTAATTAAAAAAATATTAAATAAGAACATGTGTATACATTGAAAATATCTCTTAATTATTAGCTATTGTCATTATCCCTATCATTATTAGAATTTAGAAGATAATCTAGAATATAAATATTATGATTATTTATTATTATTATCTTTATAATTATTAGAAGATAATCTAAAATATTGTTTTATGTAAATATTAATATTAAACTCGTATATATACATGTAAAATTATAATGTATAATAACAAAATATAATTTAGAATTTTAAGTTTGTATCAAAACCTTTGATCTAGGGAGTCTTGCACTCTTGCTTTTGCACACCCAAAACTTATCTGCCGGCAACCAAACTCTAGTTGTTGTCTTTATCACAGTTAGGGATGGAAATGGATCAAGTCATGAGTCAAGAGCCTATGGCTTGGCTTATTTGAGTCTAGTTTGCCTCGACTAATTTATTAAAAAGGTCAAATTTAGGCTTTTGAAAATGCCTATTTAAATAAAAAAGCCAGACTTAAACATTTAAAAAACTTTTTAGACCTGTTGAGTCGGTCTAATTAAATAATTATATTATTTTATAATTTATATTTATTTTTTTGTAATAATTTAATATAAATATAATTATCTAAAAAAATTATATATATATATATAATATGTAACGTATAACATAGTTTAGTATTTATACTATAATAATATAATAATTATAATTATACTATTAGAGTACCAAAATCAAAATTTATTGAAAAAAACTATCAATTAAAATTTTGTCTGATTTCTAAAATATCTCAATCAATTATTAAAATTTATTTTTTCTTAATTCCTATTTAGTCTTTTCAATTCAAATACTTTTCAACTTCTTAATAATTAACAATTGTTTGTTGAGCGAGCTTTATTTATAAAAATTAAAGACTTTATAGAGCAGTTATCTGTTAACCGCTCTCCAAGAGTGACTTTAGAGAGCAGTTAATAGAGAAAACTGTTCTTAGAAGTATAGATCTGAGAAAGCGGTTCAACACTAACCGCTCTCTAAATTATAACTTTAGAAAGCGGTTAACAAAGAACCGCTCTCAGAAGTATAGATTTGGGAGCGATTCAACGCTAACCACTATCTAAATATATTGTTATAGAGCGATTTCGACTAACCGCTATCTAAGTTAACGCTCCAAAATCTTGTTTCTGGCATAATGCATATTACCTTTTGTTATCTTTTGAATTATTTGAGATATGAAATTTTGTGGAGTTGTTGAGATATGATATCTGTGAAGCCATTTATTTATATTTTTTGGCTAAGCATAATATTTAATTTTAATTATTTATTATATGTTTTCCACATATGTTTTCCATTTTATTAGTACTAGGTCTTTTGGCCAGCTAGTGTGTTGGCTACTAGTCCATTAGCCCATTGACTCATTAATGTCAAATAGGCTATTGGATCAAGTCAGACTTTTAAAAAGGCCAATCCAAGCCTAAAAATTTGGCCTAAGTCAGGTTATATGCTTAGGCTCAGGCTCTAGTTTTGTGTAGTGACCAAATCCATTTAACCTTAGGCCTGACCTAGCCTGTCCCATTCTTATCCCGAATTACAACATATGTTTGCACATACTTATTAGTTTTTTTTCCCTCTTTGTCTCAGTTACCACCACCACCACCATCACTATTATTATGGCTGCACCATTAATCAACTTTGAAAACCACACTATCCCAAGAGCATGATTGATGTAACATATTTTATGTTTACATTTAATGTTTTATTTTGATTAATAAACACTTTTCATATGCTTTATTTTTATAGTTTTTATCATTTTTTACTTATTTGAATAAACTGGGCCTATTACAAATAAATGTTTTAATTTCATATATTCAGTTATTCTGACCTCTAACTACTCTTTTGGCATAAATTTTTATACAAATATCATTTTTGACTTATTCTAGTTGTATTATATTCTACACATTCAGGGCTTCAAAATGCATATATGGATTGCTAAATTTGGAGTTATTTTCTATTTTTTATGATTTTTTGAAATTGAGGGAGATTTGCTGAATATTGTTGCGCGACTGCATTTGGACACTTGTTATTTAATAATTGTAATTGAGTTTTTAGATATTATTGAGACCCGCATTTTGGCCAACTAATTTACCTTAATCAGAACCTATAAATAGACTTATAAGGTTTTGAATTAAGGGAGGTGATTAGACACTTTGAGCTTTTGAAACTTGGCCGAAATAAGAATCTTTGTTTTTACTTTCTCTTGAACTCTCTCGTTCTTTTCTCATTCTTGCATGAGTTAAGCATTTCAATGGAAGGCTAAACCTCTCGTTCAATCCGCGAAATCCAAACGCTGTAATTTTGACTTGATTTCTGTGCTAATTGCTTCGAGTTTATTCTCTTTTTCTTTCTAATCTCAGAATTGTTTATTCCGATCGTTATTAACTTTTCTGTTGTTAGATTTCAAATTAGGACTCAATTGATTCTCTAATTTGATAATTAATGTGAATTAGGTTAAATGATTATTTGATTTAATTCGTAACTCTATTCAATTAGGTTATTCGATTGAATTAATAAGTGAATTGGGTGATTGCTCAAACATAGATTTAAATCTTTAGATACTGTGATAGTCAGAGTTATACGCAATTGGTATTCTGTGGATTGATATTTCTTAATTTATTTTTTACTCACTTTAATTTTGTTCGTAATTTAATTTGATTAATTGTAATTTTCAAAACTCCAAAAACCTTATTTTCATTTTTTAAAAGTAAACCTCAAATTAAATTTGACTAAGAATGTGTCTTCTTGAATCGACCTAGGTTTGACTCTATACTACAAAATCTTTAGAAAACTTAGTTGTTTTGATAGTGACTTGGCAATCGTCTATCAAATTGGCAATTGTCGGGGACTCATTGTCGGTTTTGATTCATTTTAGGGTTTAGTATTGCGTTTTCACTTTCTAATTCATAATTTTGTTTTTGTTTTTGTCTTTGTTTCGTTTCTTTCTCTGTTGCTGCGATTTGATATTCTTATTTATTCGTTTTATAGAATGTGTTTAATTTCAATTTTCATTAAATTGTGTTGTTTTAGTGAATTTTGAATTTTAGATTCAGATTTTATATTTTTTTTTAAATATTAGATTAATAGCGTATTATTGCAGAATTGTGTGATTTGCAGAGATTTTGCATAGATCTTGCAGAAATAAGAAACAGCAGATAAGGATCCCTCATATTTAGTTTAGATTCATTTTTTTTTTAAAAAAATAAATTTAAATTTTAAATTATAGTTAAGATTTGATTTAGTTTGTTTTGGGTTTAAAGATAGGATTAGTTTTTTTAAGATAGATTAGTTTTATATTTAAATTTTGAAAGAAAAAAAAGCAAACTTTATTTAACCAATTTTTAAATTTAAATTTTGAATTTTTATTTATTTAAAAAAATTTGAAAATAAAATTTAATTAATAGTTTTCAAAAAAATAAACAAATAATTTTATTTTTATTTTTTTATTGCATTTTTTATTGTAATTTATTTAGTTGATTTTTATTTTTTTTCCTTGCATATTTTTGTTATTTGATTTGTATAAGATTTGTTTGTTCCCTCACACGCCACTAATCATGCATAACATGAGCGAGACCCTATACCCGGGTCTGAGTAAAATTTAGGTTTAGAAGAGTTGTGTAGTGATAGCAATTTGGATGAATGTTCTGTTTGTTTATCACAAGAACTTTAGCTAGAGTTTATCTTATCTATATAAGTCCCTACATCTAGTAGACTACCTACTGATTGAGGATGATTTTATGGAATGAATTTTAGCTCTAGTGACCTTTTTATCTTAAGACTTACAAACTACCCAAGGTAAGAATGCATATCATAAATCATTAGGATAGAATTCTAGGAACTGTGATAGAACACTGTAGGAGCATATTCTTTTATTATCTCGCTACATTTATTTATTTATTTATTTATTATTATTTTGTGAGTTGCAGAAATCATTGATATTATATTATTCATTTTAGGTGCGGTGCTGCTCAAAATCACAAAATTTATCGTTTAAAACACTTTTCTAAATTTTTATTTTATTTTATTTTATTTTTTTAGGACAGGAAAATATCACAAATATATATATATATATAATTTTTTTTTAAAAAAATCTTAAAAATAGAAAATAGCGCAATTAGGTTGACTTTGACTTGTTGATCCAGTTGACTTCGACCGATCTGCTTTTTGGTGCATGATTAGAACCAATTCTGGTCAATTACTCGCATTTGATCTTGAGATTGAACGCACTTGGAACATGTTGAATAGACTTAAATTGGAAGGTAGTGTGCATAGTTATTGTAGTGATACCCTTGATAGTGTAAGTATGTACTCTAATTGTGACCATTCTAATTGTGATCATTCTGATAGAATATCTGT